CACTGCCCAGCCTGTGACACAACAGAGGCCCGCATCTGGTTTACCGCTCAACAGAAATATTTGGAATTTCAAAGCTTAGTTGTTCTGGATTGTGCCAGAAGGAACAAAACTTTCACAAATAGCACACAGTAAAACTTCATGAATGTAATGGTCTGTTAAGAATAATTTACAATTTGTAAGTCAGAAAGATGGAGGAAGGACCCAAAATAAAACACAAACAGAAACAAATGAAGCCATCTGCATTTCAGACAAAGGGGAACCAACCCAACTTTGGACAGTCTGCCCTTTCTCTCCATCTCAGAGCAAACACAAAATAATTACAAACTCATCTTAACGAGTCATGCTTGTTTCTCACAGCTGTGTGGCTGGCAATTCTAAAACTACTTTCTGTGTATTATAGGACTGAGCAAGTAAGTAAATGAGTCGATCATGCTGGGCAACAGATTTGTCATAGTTGAAAAGGAAGATACACACGTGGAGAGAAAGGCCAGCAACGGCCCAGTGGGTTGGACCGGGATTGAAGTTATCAGTAGGAACCGTTTTTATATATAGACACACACACATGCATGTATGTACGTGCGTGTATAATACATGACCTACACGCACAATCTCTTTCCTAGCTCTGTCCACTGAAGGGGCCCAGAATCGATGGTGCCCCAGAAACAACCTGCACACCCAAAGTCCATTTCTTGGCTTCTAAATGCCATTCCTGATTAAAAGGGGAGAAAGCTCTTTGGAGAAATGGCTACTTCCAGGGCAGGACAGAGAAAGTACAGGGTAAGGCTAGAATATCTAGTGCTAGAAAAGAAGAAAATGCCGAACAGTGTTGGAGACACGTCAAAGGCTGGAGGAGCCAACTTGAAGGATCTCCCACTGGCTAAATCTTGGATGATTTTATTATAAAAGTAATTATAAGAAGAGGTTAGTAAGACAGCAGAATAGGTTCCAGCCCTCATTCCCCCCACAGAAACATTGATTCTACCAACTACCCATGGACAAGAGTATCGTTGGGGAAGCCCAGAATCAAGCTGAGAGGTTCCAGCACCCCAGGGGAGCAAAGAGTCCCAGAGTGGACACATTAGGGGGTAAGAAGAACAGTTTTACTTTACCTACACCACCCCTCCTCCAAAGATGCCCTTTGGTCTGTGATTTCCCCCATGGGTCAGAGCCAAGTGAACACCAGTTTCTCCAAGCACTGCGGGACACTGCTCAGGAGGCCCACTCCTGTCTCACCCAGAACCCTGCGGTGATGGGGACTTCCAGCAGGAGGGAGTAGGAAGCAGGGAGTACACAGCAACAACATCCGGTTCTTCACAGCCAGCTGCAGATTCTGCTAATCAGCCGTGATGGGGACTTCCAGCAGGAGGGAGTAGGAAGGAGGGAGTACACAGCAACAACATCCGGTTCTTCACAGCCAGCTGCAGATTCTGCTAATCAGCCGGCAGACTCCACAAGAAGCCTTCCATGAATTCCATGGCACGACTCACCTGCAGGCTCCCCACCCAGCTGATGTGTGCTCGCAGCACCCCCACAGACAGTACACAGATCTCAACAGCTGGTGCAGATCTTAGCAGCCAGCTCCACTCTGCTGGACTGGGAAAAGGCGCCCAAATCTGAACACTTCAGGGAACTACCTAATGGAAAATGGGAGGCGTTCAGACCCAGCCTGGCTCGACAGGATGAAGGGAATGCACACAATCCTAAGACTCCCCCTAAGAGGGACAAGAGGAATGGAGTGGGCACATCCACAGAAAAGGTCTGAGACCCTCGGGAATCTCTAGCAGGGCTGACTGGTGAAGGTCTTTCTCTCCAAATAGTGGGGGAGGTGACTGCTTCTTTGAATGTGAAGTCAGCAACGCAGGACTTGTAGGAACATGAATTGAGGAAACATGACACCACCAAAGGAACAAAATAAAGCTCCAGTGGTTGGCCCCAATAAAACGAGGGTTTACAAACTGCCTGACAAAGAATTCAAAATAATCATCACATACAAAACTCCACACATTACTTCTCCTGCACAGCAATAAGGATGGGACGAGCCACCATCGCGTGCCCCGAGGGCATGATCGGGAGGGCATAACCCAGGTAACAGGAAACAGCAGGAAAGCCCAAACTAAGGGCCATTCTGTTAGTATTCTATCAATGTTATTTTCCTTTGATAACTCTACTGTGGTTATGGAAGTGAAGGTTCTTCTTAGGAAACACACACAGAAGCCATGTAGGGATGAAGGGACTGGATGCAACTCCCAAGCAGTTCAGAAAAAGAAATGTGGGCCTACGCACTGATCAGAGAATTGCCGCATCTGACCCTGAGTCCTAGGGAACATGCCAAAGGTGGGAAGGGTGCTGGTACCTCTCAGCCCACACATGCAGCTCAAATTCTATTCAACCCCTTACGGGGTGCAGGGTGGTGAATGGCCTTCACACCTCATGAGCACTGGGGTCATTTGGGTGCCCTGACATGATGCCCATTAGCACCATTCTTGATACCAAGGCTCCTAAGCACAGTGATAGGATCTTCCTCCTTCTCTCACCTGCCAACCCAGGTGCAGGTGGCAGGGAGCCGGGGCTGCCACCTGAAGGGAACCAAACTCATCTCAAAGTTAAGGCCACCCTTACCATCATTTCACAGTAAGGCCTCATCTACTTTTTACAAAGGAGGCAAAGGTGATTTGAATTAGTCTGCTTAATTATTTTTATGAAAGAACATTGGGATATTTTACACCTATTTTACGAAGAATAAGTCCTGAATTATGAATGCCTTTAAAAAACTATTTTGAAATAATTTTAAGCTTACAAAAAAGTTACAAGAATATCTTTCATCTGTATAAACTTCACCCAAATTCTCCAACAGCAAACATTTTGCCCCATTTGCTTTCTCTCTCCCTCTGGGGGTGGGGGTGGACGGAGAGGACACATTTTTTCCTAAACCATATGGCTAAGCAGACTTCCTAAAAATGAAAAGATAAGGTGCAGCCCGTAGTATGTCGACAAAATAAACGTTCACTGGCACTCAACAAAATAGAAAAATCAGATTTTATTTACACATTTTAATACAAGTTTGTTCTTTATGCCTCTATCTTAAAGATGAAATCCCCTAAGACCGCTTTTTTTTTTTTTTTGGTAATTCTATACATTAGCAGCTTTCAACCTGCACTGCAGGAAGTCCACAGCTCAGATATACACCAACATTGCCTAAGCATCTTGCAATATTTTTCAAATACAGATATTACTGTAATAAATTTTTACAAACTATATATTTAAAAGCAAGTCTGAATTCACAGTACCTTTAGGTCAGGATGTATTTACAATTTATACTAATGTATAATTACTATTAGTTGATAACCCATATTTTGTTAAAAAGTGCAGCTTCGGGCCAGCCCGGTGGCGCACTGGAGAGTGCGCCGTTTGGGAGTGTGGCGGGGCTCCCGCCGAGGGTTCGGATCCCATGTGGAGACCGGTTCCTGCTCACTGGCTGAGCGCAGTGCGGGCGCGACACCGAGGGTTGCGATCCCGTTACTGGTCAGTAAAAAAAAGACAAAAAGGAATAATAAAAAAAAAAAAGTACAGCTTTATGGGCAACCTACCACACAGTAAATGCAAAATGTAATGAATTAAGTCAAAAATATTTTCATTCCATGGCAAAGGAGAAAGACATTTTTATTGTTTTAATAATAAAAGATATAAAAATGGGTTTACAGAAATTTATCTTTTGCAGAAAAACCAGCTTGAACTCATCTATACTTCAAACGAGGTTTACTGTACACATGACATAGTGACGTTAGATGGCACCACTGCACTGGTATCTTTTCCTAATCTTAGCAGCTGCACACACAATTAATTCTCATTAACATCAGTTACACTTGTGCTACTCAAACGTGGTCCATACACTGGCTGCCTGTCTGTGAACTGCTTGGTCTGCAAGATCAGCTCGCATCAGAATGTAAACGGACTAGGTCATTAAGCACACTGTTTAGCCCAACTGACATTTTTTCCTCCGTAGAAAGACTTTCTCGAGGAAGGAAGCAGTGTTCACTGATATCCTGGCTCAAGCTCCTTATCTCACTGTGGACCTGCTCTGCTGTGCACTAATCACCACCCAGCAAAGACATTTTTTGTTAAAAGCCCTTAATATAAAAGTGAAGGCTTCCCTTCTTGCATTCCTCTCTTAATACCTGCTGCTGCTGTGTTGTCTAAGTTCAGAACCTGCTAGAAGACACAGCGTTTTAATTTGGCCTCAGGTTGCATGAGCTTGTTTCTGAAGGTAGGGCTAACATGCATGTGAAAGGCCAGACAGCCTCTGTGCTGTTTCTGTGGTTATTCTTAGCCCTAGCAGTTTTTCATGTTGCTTGCACGTTTCAAAGTTTAAACGATTAGCTGAGGGACAGGACCGAACAAGTATGACTTCACACAGTGATTTCTAAGCACAAGCTCCTACAGGGCCATGTTGAGATCGAAAGTACAAGAGAGTGTTCTGCACAGCAGTGACATCACCAGCCTGTGCCTCTGAGCCCGAAGTGGCCATTGTAAAGTGGACAGTGCTCTGCCGCAGACGGGTTTCTGCAACTTAATGTCTAAAGGGCTGTTGTATACTCACATCTCAGTAACTCTTTCAACCACTGAAGGTGAGATTTAAACCGAGTCTGTAGCACTTGAGAGAGAGAGGCACATTTTAAGGGCTGGAAGAACAACAAACATTGGTGCATGTGTGGAGATGCCGAGTATCAAGGGCACTTCTGTCTCCTCACAGGATCCATCAGTTCTCTGCACTCAGAAAGCGGGGTGTGTTTGTCTCTCACTAGGTAAATGTTAATCCGTCGCAGGTAGTAATTATGTTTCACTCACGTTTACATCTCCTAGAACCCAGCAAGCAAGCAGCACCCATTAGTGTCCAGCATCTATTTGGTGAATTCAGAGCTGTTTACGCAAGTGCATTTACAACTTGGAATTGAAGAGTAGGAGATATAAAAATGGTAAAGGATCTCCTTCACTGCTGAAATGTGAGCTGAGTGGCGAGGAAAAACACCTGTCCCACTGCACGGTGTGTAGAGGACACTCACAGGGCCGCTTCCCCTCAGCTCTGCCGCACTCCGCACTTCAGAGCAGCCAAGTAAACACCAAGCAGCATGTCTAACTAATGATTTTTGAACTTTTAACCAAAATAAAAAAAAGATAAAAAGACATCAATTTCTTTGTAACTGCACCCTCTAGTGGCCTATTATCTATGAAAAAAATTAAGACAATCACACACAGCAGCCCCACTAGAGAACACTCTGTCCGGTGTGTCTGCCCCTCCCCCCCATACATGTAAAGTTATTTGAAAATAGTTTAAAACACAACTACAATATAACCTTGGACCAAAAAATTATCTCAAAATATAATATTTTAAACACAACTGGCCATGATATAGCTTCACCAAGCTTTTCCACGTAGACAACAGAATAGGCCTCTGGGTTTACAAAGGACATTTCCCCGACTACATTCTCAGGGAAGCTTTTCCCTGCAGAGATCTTGTAGCAAGGTTGGCTCTCTCTCGCAGAATGTTGGCCTCATCAGCTCTCTTGTGGGCCTGGGCGCTCTTTAGTAAGAAGTGGCTGATGAAAAGCTTCAAACCTTCCCGCAACATCCCCAACTTAGGGTTTTCAGATACCCTGGAAAGGAATCACATAAACATGCATCATGGATGTGCTAGTCTCTCCTGGATCTTGATTCTAGGTATGTCAACTGATGAGACATAACCCAGTTTCTTTTTAAAACAGAATTCTCAATTAAAAAATTCTTAACATATTCTATTTGTTATAAATCATTGTTAGTTTGTTATCAGGCAAGTTTTATGTTCCCTAAATCTAAAAATATTAGCTTAAAATTAAAGCAGAAACGACTAGGTTACACATGCAGTGACTGCAACAACCTTGCGTTTATAAATCACTGTTAAGTGGAAACAATCTCTGCGTCTCTGTTCCAAGTCTCCCCACAGCAAGCTGGGAACATACCTTGCAAAAATTAAACCAAGATCTTCAACTTCTGTTTCCATTAACAGCATATTTAACACTTTTCGTAAAAAGTGGACTCTGGGTTTGTCCAATTCACTGAATTCAACTACCTAAGAGTCAGGATACAGAGAAAAATAAAATTATGTTGATTTAGCCAACTTTTTCAATGATTTGTAAATATAGTTAGAGTAAAAATGAATCTCTCTCCACCCCCCAACCCACTCCTGATTTAAGAGGCTATTTCCAGTTTTAAAAAATAAATGCTGTTGGCAAAGATGTGGAGCCACTAGAATTCTTACATACTGCTGGCAGGGGCGTAAACTGGTACGACCACTGTTGAGAGCAACTTGGCAGTGGTAAGTAAAGTTTATGGGGGCGTATACCTTATGAATCAAGAATTCCAATTCTAGAATAGAAACATATACAGACATGCATCACGTAACAGAGGGGATAGGTTTTGAGAAATACGTTGTTAGGTGATTGTGTCATTGTGCGAGCATCACAGGGTGCACTTATGCACAAACTTAGATGGCACAGGCTACTACACATCCAGGCTGCAAACCTGTACAGCATATTACTGTACTGAACTGTAACACGATGGTCAGTATTTGTGTATTTAAACATATCTAAACACAGAAAAGGTACAGTAAAATACGGGATTATAATCTTATGAGACCACCTTCGTAGATCAAAATGTCACTATGTGGCACATGACTGTATTATCTTCATCCCCTAAAGTAACTGTCCCCTAATTAAAACTATATATAGACAAAGAATTTAGGAGAAACTAATTAATATATATATATATATATATCTTCTAGACGACAATCAAAAAGTCAGAAACAATTTAAGCTTCTATCAGTAAGATAAACAAATTAATAAATAAACTGAAGTACGCTTATACAAAGGGTCTTCAAAAAGTTCATGGAAAGATTCGTATTATCTTTTAAGTCTATTTTTCATGAAGTTTTTGAAGTACTCCCGTACAGTGGAATACTACTCAGAAGTAATAAAAGTGGAGAAGACAATCACGGACAACGCCACGGATGAAACTGGAGGAGGATACTGAGTGAGGTGACAGTAGACACTATTTGCAGAGAGGTAAAAGTGCGCAGAACAGCGTTCCGTGCTGGCTGTTTGTGCACAGGCACAGAGACTACAGAAGCACGCTGGAGTAAGGAGAAATGCCAAACCACAGAGCGGCCCCCTGGGAAGAGCGACGGGTAGGGCTGCGAGATGCAGGGCACCTTCAAGAACATCCCTTAAGTTCTGCAACCTGCGAGTGAGCTTCCTGCACCCTTTTTTTTCATCTGTTCCACACTGAGCTCAACGCTTGAGAGCGCGAAAGGCAAGATTTAGGGCGATGAGAAGGCAAGGCACCTTCCGAGTCCTGAGTACCCCAGTCCCCAGCATACGGTACCTCCTCGCTTCTAGCACAGTGTCCAAACCCCACAGCACACACTAAGAGATGCCAGGTCATCTCGAGCAGGTGCTCTGAGGAACAGCACAACTGGACTCACCAATATTAAAACACGGAACTGGAGCCACAGGCCGTGTAAGATAAACAAATTAATAAATAAACTGAAGTACGCTTATACAAAGGGTCTTCAAAAAGTTCATGGAAAGATTCGTATTATCTTTTAAGTCTATTTTTCATGAAGTTTTTGAAGTACTCCCGTACAGTGGAATACTACTCAGAAGTAATAAAAGTGGAGAAGACAATCACGGACAACGCCACGGATGAAACTGGAGGAGGATACTGAGTGAGGTGACAGTAGACACTATTTGCAGAGAGGTAAAAGTGCGCAGAACAGCGTTCCGTGCTGGCTGTTTGTGCACAGGCACAGAGACTACAGAAGCACGCTGGAGTAAGGAGAAATGCCAAACCACAGAGCGGCCCCCTGGGAAGAGCGACGGGTAGGGCTGCGAGCTGCAGGGCACCTTCAAGAACATCCCTTAAGTTCTGCAACCTGCGAGTGAGCTTCCTGCACCCTTTTTTTTCATCTGTTCCACACTGAGCTCAACGCTTGAGAGCGCGAAAGGCAAGATTTAGGGCGATGAGAAGGCAAGGCACCTTCCGAGTCCTGAGTACCCCAGTCCCCAGCATACGGTACCTCCTCGCTTCTAGCACAGTGTCCAAACCCCACAGCACACACTAAGAGATGCCAGGTCATCTCGAGCAGGTGCTCTGAGGAACAGCACAACTGGACTCACCAATATTAAAACACGGAACTGGAGCCACAGGCCGTCCTGAGAGCCAGGGAAGCTTCAACAGGGCCCAGAATGTGGTGGCCCTGAATTACCTCCAGAAGTTGAAGAGTTTTTAAGACACCAGGTCCTGGTGGGCCCATGTTCCGAACCTTACTGGTCCACCTCGAATCCCAGCTCCTATGTCTACGTTTCATAGTCCACACACCTGGGCACCTGCATTTCAACAGCTCTGAGGTGACATGTAAGACCCAAAACATGGTGCGGGAGAGGAGAGCCCACAGCTTTAGGACATCTTACATCCAATGAGCAAACGTGAAAAGCCAGCTCCCAGCCTCTGGAAGGAGATCAGTCCCCGCTTCACTGCAGCCATCTCCCAATTTAAATGACTGACTCAGGATTTTATAATCAGGACCAGCACATTAACCTCAGACCCCAAAACAGATTCACTTAGATTAGCAAAAAAATCCCAACTGTGCCTTGATTTACTACATAAGTTTACACTGAACGTTAAACTGGCTGTTTTCTGTGATGGCCAGGATAATGAAGACTCCTTTCCGGTAAATCATAATCTGAGGGAATGCACTGTTTTAAAATATCAAGTATAAGCAATTACACTATCATTTTCACTGCTTTAAGCAATTTCGAACATTACACAAACCTTTAAGATGGAAAGTGGAAGTGACTTGGTCTTCAACAAGTGGGCCACCAGGTGCACCAAATTAGAGAGCTGAGCAGCAGGCAGGTTTTCTAAGTCCCGGTACTTGTCCCACACGCTGAACTGGAAAGTCATCTGATGTGACAGTCAAAACGATGAAAAGTTAAAATGCAACAAACCATTCGACTAAATCACTGAGACTGTAACCTAAAGCTAGTCTTTCTCGTTCACTGACTTGTGATATTCTAAAAATCATGACATTCAGGAGCAGCTACACTGTCCTTTTCTCTAGACAGCAGTTTAGAACACTCCACAGTAACCTCTCTCTGCTGACATTTTCTTACTCAAATCAGCGATGTCAACGTTCACACTTTGCAGAAAGGGCACTGCTGACAAGTTACATGAGAAGAGACTGGTGTGTTATGGAACCAGAGGGGCTCCAGGCAGCCCGGCCACACACCTGCACCTGTGACAGGAAAAGGCAACACGAGGACGCTCTGGACCCTCGTCACCCCCTCTGGTTGTATCTCGTCTCCCAGTGAAGGGTGGACCACGTGACAGGGGCCACGGTGGACTCATTTTTAGGTGTGTTGAACTGAATGTTCACAGAATGTTCTGGTGGCCGCCTCACTAAGTTACCTGAAATCTCCTTTCATATTCACAAAGTTTGGTAGCCAAGAACGCATAGAAAGGATTGTAGGTTTTCTCCTGAAGGCAGCAATCCATGAGAACGTGAACGATTTCTCTCTCCTGCTGGTCCTTAAGTCCAAGCCTATAAAACAGAAATAGCAATGATTAGTACATCACCCACCTTCCAAGGTTTTCACAGCTGAAATCTCTCAAAGGAACACATTCCCGTCTGGACGAGTTTGGCTAAAAGTGAGCAAGGCAGAGGAGGTGGTGGCAGCATAGACTTGAGTCACAGCCTGGTCCTGTCCCTGACTTCTCTGGGCCTTAGTTTCAAATTGTGGGAGGAGACAACCTGATCTACAAGTTCTGTGCCAGCTATGAAAGCCTGTGACTGGTGCCTGACTGGCAATAAAAAGGACTGAACTGTATTCTTACTACGGCAATGACTTTACTTTTTCATTTTTAAAACTTAAGGTACAACTTATACACAGTAAAATCCATCCTTTTCAGTGTAGTCCTGGGAGTGTGGACAAGCCTATGTAGACAGTTCATCCCCTCCAAGCACCAGTGCGGCCTTCCCTCAACACGCAGGCCACTGCTGATCTGCTGTCCATCCCTCTCGTTTTGCCTCTGCCAGACTGTCATATGAACAGAGCCACAAAGCTGGCAGCCACCTAGGTCTGGCTTCCTATACTCGTCAGAATACGCCCAAGATCACCCCACGCTGAGTGGGTCTCAGCAGCTTGTCCCTCTCCTACATTGAGTAGTAAGTAGCCCATCATTTGGGTTTGGACGTCCCACCGCTGGCCTATCCTTTCCCCAGCTAAGGGGCATGTGGGTTGTTTTCAGTTTTTGTGATTACCAATAACTGCCTGCCTGTGAAGGAGACAGACGTGAACACTGCCGAGCTTGAACACTCCTGAGCTGCCGCGGCTCTGCACAAAAGCACACACTGGGAGATGTGGGGGACAGCAGCAGCTCCACCGCAAAAGCAAGACCCACCCAGACCCCACACATGTGACTCGCAGCTCCAGCTACGGGCATGTGGTCAACTAGACAACCAATTCAGTTTTGGCTGCATTTATATCAATTCATGTTGCTTAAAAGTTCAGAATCGCAGATAATAATTATGAGGAATAAAAATGGGAAAACATTATTGTTTAATAAACAGAGTTTGGTAGACTAAATTTTGCAGAATATGAAGTCAACCAGGGGAAAAATAAGAGTCCTCCCAGAACAAAGGATAAAGCAGACCCTCTGACTAGAGAACATGAGCTCTCCTCAAACGGAGCCCTTTTAAAATCAAAGTGTAACTAGGAAATGAAGATACACTAAAAAAAAAAAAAAAAAAAAAAAAAAAAAAAAAAAAAAAAAAAAAAAAAAAGAAAAGCTACAGAAAGAAAAAGAAAGCTTAGGATTTCACTTCAACAAGGTACTCTGGTTTAGAAAATAAAACCCCAAATTATCAGAATCCTTAAATGACCCGTCTTCCCCCGTATTTCATTCTGAGTTTGAATCAAATGCAGGAAAATGAACTAATATTAAGTTTTTTAGAAGTACTTTGTGAAAGTTCACAGGCATTTTCTAAATCTTATTACAACTAGTTATAGAAACTATACTAAAAAGTTTTAAATTACGGATTAGAAGGATAACTTTAATGTGAAGATTTACAGATTTTCAAGCAATTCATGATAAACAATGGCCACTAAGAATTATTAGCTGGTTAACTAATACTTTCAGTCAAAACCCTCAAATCTTTACATGTCATAAAATATTCTAATGAGGAACCACTAGTGGCCATCAGTAGGAACCTCTGGAAAGCCGACCCAGGGACGTCTGGACCCAACAGGAGGAGGGGGAGTGATGGGGAAAGCCCCCGGCTGTTCCCAGCAGCACCTGACTTAATCATCTAAAACTTGAAAATCAAACCAACTTATTTCTTTTACAACATCTCATTAAACAACAGGTCAACATGTTCACACAAATGCTTACTTTAGAAGCTTTTCAAAAGCATCCAGAAAATCTTCACTCGTCATTATTGTACAGAATATGTTTCTCCTGACGTCAGTGTTCATTCTCTGCTTCCGGGCAAGTTCCAGTATCTTTGAGCTACCCTGAAAAGAGGAACAATTAATGCACAGATCACACAAATATTCCAATCAAAGTTGTTTCCTGAACAATTCTATACCATGCTTTTGCTTATCTTAAATATAATTGGAAATCACATGTGAATATATGTAAGTGTCAAACATTTATTCTTGGGCAACCCTCCCAAAGGAAAAACTTGTCAGTGGAGGGAAAAACTGCTTGGTTTGGGAGACTTCTCAGTGGTGGTACAATTTCAGTCTCAGCAGCAATGAAATCACACACAGGAGCCCTGGCCACCAAGTGTGATGTGGGGTCTGGGGACAGGAGAGGACCTCTGGGAATGGAGGAATCTGGATAAAGTGCAGCCTCTAGTTAGTAACAAACACAGAGAAGGGTCGGGGTCGTCACAATCTGAAACCCACGGACCTGGGACAGGACAGGACCTCAGGGAATGGGGGATCTGGATACAGTGCAGCCTCTAGTTAGTGACCAACACAGAGAAGGGTCGGGGTCGTCACAATCTGAAACTCACGGACCTGGGACAGGACGGGACCTCGGAATGGGGGATCTGGATACAGCGCAACCTCTAGTTAGTGACCAACACAGAGAAGGGTCGGGGTCGTCACAATCTGAAAGCCACGGACCTGGGACAGGACAGGACCTCAGGGAATGGGGGATCTGGATACAGTGCAGCCTCTAGTTAGTGACCAACACAGAGAAGGGTCGGGGTCGTCACAATCTGAAAGCCACGGACCTGGGACAGGACAGGACCTCAGGGAATGGGGGATCTGGATACAGTGCAGCCTCTAGTTAGTGACCAACACAGAGAAGGGTCGGGGTTGTCACAATCTGAAATCCATGGCCCAAAGACTGCACCCACGCACAGAGACAGCAGACGTCCAGTTGTGAGAATGGGCTTCTGCAAGACGACTGTTTGGGTTTTTATATGTCCCCCCCACCATTCCACTCAACTTTTACAGCTTTTGTGTGATGCGGTTTGGAACTTAAAAAAATCCTTTAAAGAGAAACAACAGAAACTGAATTAAATTATATCACAACATAACTGCAATTTCAATAAGGCCTCCAAATAAACCTATGCCATACCTTTCAATAACCCCTCATGAATAATAAAGGAGCTACTCTAGGTAAAGCCCTAACCAGCCATTGTGGCGGCATCCACAGTCTGGCAGCCGCCAGCACAGGGGTCTCCATACCGTCCCGGAAAGCTGCCTCTGCAAGAGGGTGCGATGACTGTTGTCAATCATCGGGGCCCCACTCCACGCAGACCCCACAATCCACCAGCGACCAGTCTGCTCAGCATTCAAGACGCTGTCCCAGGAGACACGGAGCTGAGTCTCTGAACCCGAGCCAGTGTTGCGAACCTGATTTAAAGAAAAGTTCCAGTGAAATGCTTTTAATTGGTGCATATCCTGTACTTCCATCACTCTCAGCTTTTCTGTTTTTGACAATGGCATTCTTGGCACATGCATACTGTGATGATTCACTGACAACCAGGATAGTTAACCTGTTTGGAATAATGCCAAAATTAGTGGCAAATTCATAGTATTTTGTGTTTTAGGTCTGTGGGTCTATCACCCCAAACAACACTGTCCAGACAATGTTGTCACGACAGGGGAGAGAGACTGAATTGCCTCAGACTCAGTGGCAGGTGACACGTGACCAGGAGGAGCCTGGGCTTTGCAGTCAGCCACATTCAGAATCACCCTGACTGGTGAGGATGGCGGGTCTCAGGCCCGTCTGCATCAGAAACACCCACACTTAAACAAGGAGCCCAACCCTGAGTCCCCCTCGAACCATTCTCATTTCCTTGGTCCAGGTGGGGCCCTGGCCTTCTTTGACAGCATCAGATGATCCTATCAGGCAGTTTGAGTTTAGTGCCTCAGGCCAAGTGCAGGAGATTCTCAGCTGACACGGATCTTCTCGCACTTGGACATCCTGCGACAGCACCCAGGCCACTCGGAGGAGGCAGGACAGATACCACAAGCAGCTTCCCTTCTGTACCTTAACAGACGTGGCACCTGACCTGATGTTCATGATGGGCTCACGCTGACGTGGAAGCTTAGAACACATGAGAATTGAAGGTTGCTTACGAGAGCCCTCTGCAGCTTCCTCAGTTTCTCCACGGGCTCAGGGTCATAGCCCGGAATTTTGCGCATGTCATTGTTCTTCAGCGCCAACATTGTCTCCAGCATAAACCGAACCTTCAAGAAAACCAGAAAACACCCATCATTTCAAACAGTCTGAACAACCGCTCATTCAACCTGGCAATAAACACATCACACAAGGTCACCACCGCTGCTGGTCAATAATCAGAATGGTCTTCAGGTAGAGACAGTCTACACTAACTTCCACATCTCACCCAGGGCCATGCGCAGGGCCTTGCTCTCCCCCTCTGCACACGCCTCTTGACCTCATGTGCGTGCCGCCCCCTCCACACTGCCCAGCCACCAATCTGGAAACCATGTCTCCCTCTAGGGTCCTATTCCCACCCCACGCCACTCTCACTGACCTGAGCTCTTACATGTCCTCTCGTGTCCCCTGCATTCTCAACCTCTCCCCCACCAACAGCCTGTTCATCTTTTTTAACATTTAAATTGGAAATACTGTCACAAAGAAAAGCTGCAAGAACAGTACAAAGAACTCCCACATACCCTTCTCAGATTTCCCCAAATGTTATCTTTTTATCCAGATGTGATTCACATACCATATAATCCACCCACTTAAAATGTACAATTAGGTGGTTTTTGTATATTCAGAGTTGTGCAACTATCACCACAATCAATTTTAGAACTTTCTTGTGACCCAAAAGAGAAACTCCAAACCCATTAACGGCCACTCCCCATTTCCCACCAGCCCTAGGCAGCCACTAGTCTATTCCTGCCTCTGTCAACTTTATGTTTTAAGCCATCGGTTTAAGCACAACTTGTCGCTCCCATCCCGTCCTCCACCGCCCTCTCCTCCTTGCAGACACGCTTCTCTGGAACCCTTCAGGATAACTGTTTGATAATTGGGACTGCTATCAGAACCCACCTCAAAATGAAAATCCAGTCCTCATCTCTTCTGCCCTTACTTAGCACCCCGTGGGGAGAAAAACCCCTCCCCGGTACACGTGGGGCCCTGGCCTCTGCTGTTTTCTTCCTCCCGTCCTCCCTCCTGATGACAGCCGCTCTCGCCTGCCAGCGATTCCTCCCCCAGCAGGTGAGTGTCGTTGCAGCCAACCCTCAGGGTCTGCTTCGTGTCCCACTCTGCAGCAGGCAATGCCACCCACTTCCACGAAGGTGACCCCGAATCCCTCCCAGGCCCCACCTCTTCACAGATAACCCAGGTGCTTTCATTTCAGTATTTCAAAAACCAAGCCGTTTTCCTGTCCATGTCTGTCTCTCCTCCTGCACGTCCTGCTGTTCACCTGAAGGGAGACCCCTGACCCCTCTGTTCCTTTACTTCCACTCCACACTAAGTCTGGTCACTTCTAACTCCTAAATCCACACCCACTACCACTATGCTAACGTTGGCCACTGCGGCCTCCCCCAGATTCCTATTCTCAGAGTAGATCCTCCTAACTCTGACCACCTTCCCTCTCTTTTCCACATTAGAGCCAAAGTGATCACTAAAACAAAAACTTCAACCTGTCAGTTACCTGCTTAGAACTCTTCAGATGCCTCTAGGATAAAATTCCAATTCCCGTGATGGTTTACAAGGGCCCCTGACCCCTGGATTCTGCCCCTTTCTCCTGTGATGGTCCCCCTTCAGACTCTCCACCCTTAACCCTTTTCTTGTTCCCTAAATAAGCTGCACTCTTCCTTCCCCAAGGGGTTCTCACATGCTGTTCTTTGCTGCTATCATCAGAACAGCAAACGAGGTAGGAGCTATGATCAGCCTTTTTACAGATGAGGAAACTGAGGCCTGGACCACTCAGGCTTTGCTGCTGTCTGTGGCAGAGCCAGAAGCCTGTGCCTCGCTAGTCCAGGAGCCCCTGCCATGTGGCCTCCTCAGGAAGCATTTTTTGAATAGATGGATGTTAAATAAATTGAATTTTAAATTCACAAAATATTTATCTGAGTTCTTAGTAAAGAAACAAGGTTCCGTTCACACGTTAAAGATAAAGCCATGAAACTAGATAAGGCAGAATAGAAACCATTAGGAATGAAGTATAGTATTTACCCCAAATGCTTATGTTTAAGGTCTGCTCAGTGTGAGCTTTTAGGCACTTGGGAAGCAGGTCAAGTGACGCACTCGTACCCTGGTCTGGTCTTGAAACCTGCTGCCTGCCCCACTGGCTTTGGTCTGGGCTTCAGTGATGAGCTCCTTAAGAGACAAAGCATCGTCTTTTCTCAGTGAAAAGCCCACGTTTTTCAGCATTAACAGGATCAGTTCAATATCCTTTTCTGTGAAAGTTCCAATAAGTTTTTTCAAAACATCAAAGATGAGGAGAGACTGCACCACGTGGAAGTTGTACAAATGGGCAAGGATGGTGGCCAGGTTGTCGCATTCCTTCCCTTCACTGCCAGTTCTATAGACGTCCTCGAACCTCCGCACCACGGCCTCCAGGAAGTGAGCCCCTACCTGGCCGAAGACAGCAGAAGATCATCATTACATTGTTCTTAGGGACCCTGCTTCACCTTCAACAAACACAGCTGGCACCTGAGATGTCCACAAGGCAGGATGTGAACTCCAACAGGGTATACACCTTGACAGCTCAGTGTGACTGCACCGTGCCTTACGATGACGAGTGCTAAACAGTAAGTGGCAACGTACAGCAACTCGCCATGGCGCTCACACCTGTACTGTATGGTACACTCTTTTCTTTAAAATCAACAACAAAGTGGTACTTTTTTTGACTCGCAGCCATTCTAGTTCCTAGGAAAAATAAAATTGTTAGAACTGTCAAAAACACGCCTGTGTCTCTAAAAATGTTCTACTACCTAACAGCACTCATTTCTTGAAAGACTTTTTCCAGATATTTATTCCAAGTTAATTTCTTAGAAGGAAGCAGTGCAAGTGATCTTGAAAGTAGAAAAATAAAAACACACATTCTCCAGTAATACCCGGGGCTGCCAAACAGCCTTTACATGTAACGATCACTGCATGGGCAGAGGTGGAAGGGATGAGGGGCCTCTGCTTCCCGGGTGAGTGTCTGTATTTAAAAGCAGTATGTGAACACATCTGCTCGGCCCAGCCAGAGATCCTTGGGTACTCTGTGGTCCTGATGCCACCTGTTCTGTTCTTTAGGGGCCAACAGGTAAACCAGCTGCTACACTTGAGGGGACTGCCCTGGGGCCAGGACTACAGTGCTCTGGTTAAGCTAAGTGAGGCCACTAGGGGAACCTTCTTTTTGCCATTCTGGTATATTCTATTCCAGATCTGAGGGGACTGCCCTGGGGCCAGGACTACAGTGCTCTGGTGAAGCTAAGTGAGGCCACTAGGGGAACCTTCTTTTTGCCATTCTGGTATATTCTATTCCAGATTCTGTAAGTGTGTACTACGGAATAAGGAAGACCTGGATTTATATCTGTGTGGATTTAAAAACACCTGTTTTTTCACTCTCTAACACTGAGATGATGAAACTTGAAGGCAGAAATGGTAGCTATCATTATCGATCTTGCTGATATTACTATGATGTCAGCATTTTCTTTCAAATCGCAGCTCAAGTTGAGACTGGAGGGAGAAGGCAGGAGGGGGCTTGGTGGTGACAAAGAGTGATGCCAACAGCAGCTGTAAGGGCTGGCACCAGAGTCACCCCGGAACAGCACTGGCAGGGGGCAGCCCGCCAGTGAATGTGACTCCCAAGTTTTTCATCTGGGTAACCAAGAAATGTGTGAGGAGCAGCAGGTGAGGAGGGCTGGGTAAGGCCAGTTTGAGACTCCAGCTTCAACTGTGGGACACGTGGCAGGGATGGAGGCAGACCTATGGGTAGCAGTGGAGATCATGGCAAGGCTAAGAGCTGGGGGTAGAGTGTGACTGGTGGGAAAGTGCGCACATGTCACTGCTGGGTTGCAAAGAAACAAGTGCTAGGAGATTCCAGAGAAAGGTGACAGATTGGCAGGAGGCAAAGTGACTTCAGGAAGGCTAACACTGACAGATGGGAGACGCTCTAGCTTCAAAGGCCTGAGACTTAATAAATTTAACCTATAAACTCCCAATTCACTGAAGATAAACCTGAAGAATAAACTCTCCTATTATGACGACAATTTTATATTCAACTACAGTTGAGGAAAAGAAGTTAGAATTCTGCAGACGTCAAGAAAAATTCAGGCACAAAATATATTCAGGTAGGTTTTCTATCATTCAAGTAGAATTATTTAATTACATCAAAATTTGTCAAAATTTTAAATTTGAAATTCCATTTAATGTCTTCAAAATAAAACAGCATAACATTTAAAAAATACACAGAATTCATGTTGCTAAAGTTATTTAAGCATATACATTAATTCTGATATAGGAATTTTAACACAACTCTGCACAGATCTGATTTTTTATTTTTAAACAACTTACAGAAGCAATTCAGCAGCTGACACTACAGTCTTTAAGATGTTTTTTTCCTTCCATGAATTTCTGAAGATGTTTTTCTCAGTACAGCACTGAAAGAAGTTTAATGGGACCAGCATCCTGAGAGCTCATCACACTCTGGCAGGGTTTTAGTGGATGTCATTAGCTAAAGTACCATAATGACTTCCCCTTGGAACAAGTCATTTCATTGTCCTTCGTGCTATTAGTGAAGGTTTAAATGGGAAGTAGGAACAATCATCTCATGTTTCCAAATCAAGTAGATTCCTGATGTGCCATGGGTGGTCAGGGTCTATAGCTTAGACTATAACTCACTGAAGTACTGTCTGTACTAAAATCATTTTGATTATTAAGTCTGCTGAAGTACACCGGTATGATCTGGAGGACGGGAATGTGCTACAGAGGCCACAGAAGGGCACTGAGTTATGGAAATCACAGGGTACTAGGAACAGCGTCCGGGGACTCCATCACACTTTGTAATGACAAGAAAGTGGACTCGCACATTCACATGTGGGGATGAGTATAGCTCTTAGAAATAAAAAAATTACTTCAAAAGAGCAATTCCCAAAGGAGCTGGTGCAGAGTTGCCACAGGAGAGGTTATCTAGGTAGTGGAGAAGAGAGTCCTGCCACCCAGAAGACCCAGGGCCTGTACCAGTCTCTCGTCTGCCTCAGCTTCTCAATGTCCAGTAGGTCCTAAAGTCTCCATCTCTCAAAAAATTGCCACAGTGTGACTACTGCCAGCTGAGGTTCAGAAGATCACTGAGGAATACCAGTGACACTTGCAGTGGGGCAAACAGCCAGCTGGGAAAAAGTCAGAGGAAAGGAGAATCTCAACACGAAGATCTCCTTCTGTATTGTTAAGAAGTTAAAAACCAACGTTCGATGCTCACATACTATGGGCCAGCCTCTTCTCTATGACTATTACACACAGCAACTCGTTAACCTCAGCAACTCAACGGAGGAAGATGCCGAGGCATGAGGCCACCCAGGGTGACACAGCTGGACATGGCAGAGCGTGTTCTGCACCTGGGCAGTGTCTCACCACAGAACCACTAGGAAAAGGGAGGCTAACTCATTTTGGCAAGTTTGCGCATTTTAAATCAAGCCCTAGACAGTTCCATTCTAAAAGACTCCAAATAATTTTTAAGACTACAATCGAGAGAGAAAATAACATAAGAATGAGATGAATGGGAGCAGCACTGCGGTAGGAAGTGCACTGCTTAGGAGCGCAGAGAACAAGCTCCGCGTCCTCTGAACAAGCCTGCGATCGCGGGAACACCATGTAACCCTGCCGCGGCTTCGTCAGCTGCATTTAAAAAATGGGTTTAAGTACGTATCTGCGCTCCTTATCTCACTCGGTACTGTGAGCATCAAATGTAATGCAGACAAGCAAGCAAACACAGGCCAGGAAATCAGACTTTTAGGGATGCTTTGCTGCTGCAGCCTATTTTTAATAGCCTATTTTACAGCTATCAGGCAAAAAACTAAGAAAATCACCACCAAGAGACTGTAGCATTGAACGATCCAAACAGGTGAACACATTCTTCTCGTGAATACATCACCTGGAAAGTTAAGCCGCATTCACTTAGTCATCCAGTCATTCCCCTGCTTCAGTATAAGCTCATTTAATCAGAATGATTTATTTCCTTAAACATACCTGAGACCAGCTACACTGAGGGAACTGCAATACTGACTGGGAAGGCTGTGTGTTTACTCTAGTAGGTGAGAGGACGGACCAGAAGATGGTGGCGACTGTGGAAGCAGAGTTGTCACCCAACAAAGCCTCCCTGACCTGAACTGCCAGAAGGTTGCTGGGTCAGGAGGAAGCTCACAAATGGGGGTGGGGGGGAGGCAAACCTTTACTCAGACCTGTCAGGTACCACGATTGATGTGCACTGTCCTGTTTAACCCTGACCACGGCCCCTCGAGGTGGCTGCCAGAGTCCAACTTCACAGACCAAGAAACGGGCACAGAAACGGCACGAGGGCTCCCTGGACGTCACCCAGGCAGCTCCTGCACATCTCCTCACTCAACCCTTATGAAAAATAACCTCCCACCAATACAAATACCTTGGTAGGGAAACCATACCAACCATTATCTTCCCAACACCCAGAGTAAGTCAGTGTGAAAGTGGGAACACAAAGAAAACGAAGGCAAGTCAGAGACAGCAGTCCAGAAGGAAAACAAACATGAAGACATGTCAGGAGGCACAGAACAAAAGGCAGAGTTGGGTGGAATCAAGTATTTACCAAATGCTGTTTAGAATCACAAGATATAGACCATGGGGTATCACTAGGAATCAAAAGGAATCAACACAAGAAAACGACCTATACCACACTGTTACCGTGAAAGTGACCACCCTTGTGCACTACTGACGCCTGGAAGAAAGGTGCCACCCTACCTCAATTCCCACCGTGTGGTGCAGGATGCTGACTAAGAGAACATGGAAAAGGAATCAACCAAGAAAACGACCTATACCACACTGTTACCGTGAAAGTGACCACCCTTGTGCACTACTGACGCCTGGAGGAAAGGTGCCACCCTACCTCAATTCCCACCGTGTGGTGCAGGATGCTGACTAAGAGAACATGCTCCATCATCAGCCTGCTGGGCATAGCCGTGTCAGAAACACAGGCGCCCAGCAGGGCAGCGGTCAGAGTGTCATTCATGTCCTTCCTGCTGTGGGTCATGTACAGCTCCTCCAGCTGTCCACTGATGGACGCCATGTTTGGTTCACTCAACCTGCAGAGAGTTGTAGACATAGAGAGCAATAATGCTTCAAAATAGGAATTATTTTTCAGTGCAATTAAAAAAAAAAAGTCATCAACGCTACCAATATACCTTACGTTATGCACACTTTTGACCCATGAACAATTCTTGTCTTGCCTCAGTAACCCAGCACGTATCGTTCAAAACCATGTATACTTTGGAATCCTGAAATAACATAATTGTTGTCTTTACAGCTGAAATGTAGCCACAGTGAAGCATACGCTGGATGCTCTTTATGTCTACAGAAGCTTACGTGACAATACTCCACGTATCCTGATCTAACATCCTCAGAGGCAGGGACCATCTTTGAGTGTGTTGTTAGGAAAAATGCTAACTTTCCATTTCATAGGTGGCACAAAAATCCCCAGTTGCTAACACCGAGAAAAGGTGGCTCCGTTTGAATGGTAAGAGGGGGGACTATATGTGTACACGGAAGTTTACTCGGTGTGCACCTGAGCTAAAGCGGAACAGAACACTAGAACAGCGTGTGATGGCAGAACTCCCAGGTACTCCATGAAAACAGTGTCTGGGTTTTAGTTAAAAAAAAAAAAACTGGGTGTGTGTGTGGGTGTGTGTGTGTGTAAACATCATCATGGATCCTGGGCACCTAAGTGACAGACTTTAAGGAGACAAACATTTGTAAGGCATGATCCTTACTGTTAAGAGTTTTAACTCAGTTGGAGAAGGCATATTTACATGCACAGAAGCTGCCACTGAGACATGTTACTTCAGATTGTGTGTCAACTATACCTCAATAGGTTGTGAAAGAAAACTCAGGAACAGTGAGAAAATAACATCCTAAGAGAGGAACTGGCAGCATTTAGAGATTGCCCACAGGTGCTAGGTGCTAAGGCATCAAGAACAGAAATGAAGTTTCACGTGCTTGAAACGGGAAAAAGATTCCCAGAGATGCTTGGTGTTTAATAAACAGTGAGAAAACGAGGAAAGGCCTCGCAGGCAGAAGGGATAATATATTTAGAGGCAGCATGCTGAAACACAAGCAGTTCCACCTCTGGCTGCTCTCAAGCTGCGTGACAGGGGCGCCCAGACGAAATGGGCTGAGGGTCAGCCCGCGAAGGCCTGACTGCATCTTCACTCTGGAGACTGCTGTGAACTAGCCTTGCACTGCGGGAAACGCGCTCTAGCAGCAGTTGGGCGGCAAAGGAAGCAGGGCGAGGGCGGCGGCGAGTCGGGGTGCTGCAGCTGTGACGTGCCGCCCACACGAAAGAGGCCCCGACAAAGGGACGGTGGCGTCGGAAGTCAGGTCTGGAGACCTGGGACTGCCCTCTGAGAACGAAGGTGTGCTCCGAGAACAGCCGGCGGAGCGCCGCTAAGCCCCTGCGGTAAGAGGTCTCCTAGACGTGTGTTCCGCTCCCTTTCTATTATGGAAAGTTGGACACAAGACAGAACAACGTGACCAGCCCGACCCACCCACAAGCAGCGCCCGCAGTGCTCGGGCGTGGGCGCGCTGCCCCGAGGCGGGGCCCCTACCTGGGCCGCCGCGTCACCTCCCTCCGCGTCTCCGCGCTTCTCTTCCGCAAAGCGCACTCTCTTGTCCCGCCTCTTCTCCTGCGCTCCGCCTCTGTCTGCGCCCGCCTGCTGCCCTTCACCCCCATCCTCCTCGTCCTCGCTCCGGTCCTCGGAGTCGCTCTCGGAGGCGCTCTCGGGGGGAGTCCGTCCGGCCTGCTCCTCGTCCTCCTCCCCGCCGCTGCTCTCGTACACGCCGCTCCCTCGCCCCCTGTCCAGGGCCCGCAGGACGTAGTCCAGCCCGTCGCGCGCAAAGCTGAGCGGCAGGCGGTGGCCGTCGCCCTTCCCGTAGCGCCTGTGCAGGCCGAGGCCGCGCTCCAGCCTCCGGATCTCTCGGTCCTCCTCCTCGTTGGCCGCTAGGAGCGCACGTTTGCGGGCGGCGGCGCTGGCGGCGCTGGCGGCAGCGGCGGGTCTGGTCTTCCCCGGGGAGGCCTTGGCCGGGGGGCCCGTGACCTGGGCCGGGGGGGCCTTGACCTGGGCCGAAGGGCCCGTGACCTGGGCCGGGGGGGCCGTGGTCGGCCGCGGCTCTTCGGGAGGCGGAGGGTCCCGGCGGGCGCTGTCCCTCTCCTCGTCCGC